GCTGTAAACAGACGGTTCACATTGCGACGGTCCACACTCGTCTCGCGTGCGCTAGTTCGGTAACAGACGGGTTCAACTGTATTACGAATCACAGCTTTTTGTTTCGCGCGAGTGTTCTTTAGACTTGAAACACCACCCGGATGAAGCCGGAACGATAAAATGTCGTACGGACGATCGTATTAGCGACGTGCCTTTCGGGTGTTCAGGTATTTTATTGTTCACGGAGAACAATGCAATATCACTACTTCTGATATTTTCGTGTTATATGTTTACAAAATATCACGAGGAGATAGAGAGAGAGAGGGGGGGGGGAGGCGGAAGGAATTCGACTATATGGTAACGGAGTTCGCTACTCGCGCGGGTGTTAAACTCTGTGCGTGTTTTGCGCCATCTCGTAACGATAATAATATGATTTATATTAGGATTTGATTAGGTACGCGAATCTGTGCCCGACTGATGGCATATTAATTGCGATTATTTAACATTTAAATCGCACGGAGTACACGCGACGGTAATCTATAAGTAGACGATAAATCCTCACTCCGGCTCCTCGTCGAAACCCGTCGGTTGTAACGTTAAATCCTCGCGATCAATAAACCATTATAATGCTACATACCTCATACCTACGCGTTTTCGGTGTTGAATTAATGCGTTCCGGCATTGTCAAATTGACTATCGAATACCGTTTGGAAATAATAAAAAAAAAAAAAAAACAAAAAGAAAAACATTATCTAAAAGTGCGTGGTACAAGAATGTATAAAATCATTTCGATTACGTCAAATATGAACCGTTGCTATGGAAAAACGATTCTGAGCGAAGTTCGGGTAAACGCGTTTTGAATAAATACCGTGAGCTCAAAAAAATCCACTCCATTACGCTCAACGTAATTTTTTTACCACTAAATACAACTTGTGATAAGCCCCGAGTAAAACACTTAAGCATTTTTTTCTCGACCAAAATGATTTTAGTCGCGTGAAATCAATTGAAAACCAAAAACTCGAAAATGCCAAGTATTTAGAAATAGCTCGAAAATCCGAAAAAAATATATAAGACGTGTTATGAAAACATTTCAGTTCTCTACTATTGTTTTCCCTTTAAACGCAACGGAAAAACAAAATCGGTTTTATACTAAACCGTCGTTCTGTAAATATTTTCGATTTTTCGACGTTTGCTGAGTGATTATTAAAAAAAAACTAAAAGGAAAATAAAAAATTACCTCTATGAGGCGCATAGCTGTCGAGCTATAAAAAAAATTACCAGAAACCGTCCCGGGATACGACGGACGGCGAGCGAGTTTTCTAACTGGTCAAAACTTTGTTAACAGGCGTAAAAAAAAAAAAAAAACTACATTACGCTAAAACTATATAGTATAAGTTTTTCTCTCGGCTAAAAATTTGAAAAAATTCATGTTATTTCAAAACCGAATCCCGACCTATAATAGCAATGTTTTATACATGAGATAATATTAGCTTCCGTAATTTCCTCAGACTGCGTGGACGTATTCACGGCGTTTGCGTACTATTTGCACAGCCGACGGCCGCGGCGTTTCCACAAAAGGTCTTGAATTTCGATGCACGAGGCGAATTTACATCTGCACGGACGAAACTGCGCGCATTATTATTATTATTATAATTGCGTTATATTTTTTTTTTTTTTTTTTTTTTTACGAAAACGTTTTTAACGTCGCGCGTTCAGTTTTTACCACATCGAGCAGCAAAGGGTTAATTTTCACTAGTTATTTTTTAGGGTTAATTAAGGTACGACAAAAAAAAAAAATAAACAAATAAAAAATTATGAAAAAATAATAATAATAATAATAAAATATTAACTCCCCCTACCGCGTCCCGCGGAGCACACGTTTTTTTTACGGGCTGTGTAGTCGTTATAATGCATACTCGTTTAATAATTCTTTATTTTTTTTTTTTTTTGCCTAAATACGGTTAACATAAAATACGTTTATACATTATATTACATAGTTACTCGTGTACAATACAATATAATATACGTATACGGCGTACAAACGAAAGCGCATTATTTTTAACGCGAAAGCTTTGCGGAACGAACGCGCGCGACCGTTGGCCAAAGCCCGTCGGAATCGTACGCGTTGCGTTAAATTTAAACGGCCCGAATAACGAGAATGTATTATTATTATTTTTATTTTTTATGCGTACGCGCCAAGCCAAACGGAATAAATTTGCCGGGAGCATTTCCCGACCATCTGGCGAACGGCCGCGGCACGGTGTCCGCGGATTTTTTTTTTCACTTTTCTCCGTGCGCGACGGTTTAGAGAACGCGACACTGTCAATTACCGATCCGCGCGGCACGGCGCGGTACGGGTAACACGTGGGCCGCGACCAGTCCGGGCGATCGATAGCCGATCGAACGGGTTTCCAAAGGCTGAGAAGATAACGCATAGAGGGAGCAATTACCGATGTATGATGTCCGTACACGGCGATCACAACCATTGCTGACGAGAGAAAAAAAAAAAAACGATTCCGAGCGGAGCTCAGTTAGGCAAGTGTTGGTTTGCCAATAATGCAATATGATACGCGTTGAACATTTTCCTTAATAACGTCCGTTTAATATCGTACCTGTTTTCACGTTTTTTTTCCCCGATTTCCCGATTGTTTTACCCCGGATTTTTCCATTTGTTAGGAAAATCAAAAAACGCCCTTCTTAAAGCGACCGCCCTAGGCTGCGTACACAATGGCCCCGATTGTTGAAAACAACGCGCTCGAACGCGGTCCGAAAAACGATACGAGCGATAATACGGTTTTTCGAATCGAAAATTTCCAAAAAAAATGCAACGCGAAATGTCCCGTCCGGAAATGCACGTACCGGAACGAGATCCGAGTAATCGCACGGCGAGGTTTTATTAATTTCAAAGCGCGGACATTTTACGCGCCGCGCACACGCCCGGCCGAACGCGACCGGACCGGGACCGCGGGACGGCGCCGCGTTCGTTTCTCGTAACCCCGTTGTGGTTTGGTGATTTTCTCCGTTCCCTTTTCCCGGCGCCGCGGTACGCGCGGCCTCGTTCCGGTCGCGCCGGCCGGCGAGTAACGAAAACCGTCAGACCGTCTGCGGCCGACGGCCGGGAGCCGGTGTACCGACCGGACCGGACCGGACCCCGTTGAGGCGCGCCACCCCGCCGGAATGATATTTGAAATTATCATTGTTATCATTATTATCATTGTTATCATAATAATATGTTATACACGACGCGCACAGAGTCGGGTTTCGCGAGCGAAACCGAACTAAAAACGGCGACCCTTGACCGTATACCGTACCGCAATCGCGTGCGTCTCGTGCGCCCATAACAGTTTTCCGATCGAGCGACCACAATGCGCGCGCGTGCGAGTGCGCGCGCGGCGTGTACGACCACACGTATATCTGTATGCCCTTTAAAACTCGTATTTTTTTCCCTTTTTTTACGACGCCGGGATTCCGAGCGATCGCGCGCGTGCCGCGGGCCACTCGCCGTTATTACAACAAATCGCGTTTATATAGCTCGCATCTCCGTCTCCGGTTCTTTGGCCGGCGAACACGCTATTGCGGACCAATCGCGGTCGAAAATGTTTTATTAACTGTACGGAAACGCTCGCGACGTTTGTCGCGGTACAAAGTATAATATACCTAAGGTAGAAAAAAGAAAAAAAAAAAAAACAATGGAAACCCGGCTAAAAATCCCCCGTCCCCGGTGCGGTTTAACATTATCCGTGTCTACGCGCGATAAAAAAAAACGCTCTACTCGAATAATAACTGCTTGAAACCGCGGGGTTTCGTTATTCGTAAACAGAGTATCGATATTATCCGGATATTTGAACAATATGTCGGACAACGGCGTACTGTCTATGCAGTTTCGTTCAAGATAAAATCGAAATTTCGCATCTTCGTCTCCGGATTAATTTTCGATAAATGCGTAAATAACGAAACACTAGAATGACTGTTACTGTGTACAACGTGCCGCCGTAGCCTCCGCTATGGCCCGGCGTGCACGTGCTATAGCGGGCAAAGTTTTACGTTTCGATATTACAATTATTGTCCGCCATGCCCCTGTACACGGCCACTACTAACGGTAACATCTTGTTCGCGACGATTTATTCATTAACAACAACATAGCCCCGATAATATAGACGGCAGTGTAGAGTTCCGGGTTGATTGTCGTAAAGAATTAAACACGAATGCCGATAATTTTAAATAAAAACACTTATGATTTTTCTTGACGAACGAATAAAATCGATATCGTGCCAGGCTACAAAACGATTTCTCATAACGCCGAAAATGTATGCGCATCCATTCCTAAATCCGAAACGGTAAATTGTTTAAAAAAAAAAAAAAAAAAAACGCATACATAGTATTGAATTTAATACAAACTAAATACGATAAATCGTTCAATCAATAAATGTAATTCCTAATCGAAACTATTTCCAATACAATAATGAATTATATGCCGAAGGAGACGGGTAGGTTATGGGTGGTCCTTGAAGTGGTCCTTTTATCTGAAATTTGCATGCGAAATTATGAAAACAACAATACTATTCACAACAATATATACGGCCCATACATAAAAGCATATTACAGATATGTTGATGACGCGTTAATTTTATTCATAGATTCAAATAGACGAGCGGACAATTTAGTTCGCTACATAAACGGAATAAATAAAAACATTTAATTTACACTCGAAATACAAATGAATAATAAATTGAATTTTTTAGATCTTACAGATTCCGTAATAAACAGTGAGTTCGATTTTAGCATTTTTAGGAGACTTACGCGAACTGACGCCATAACACTTGCACGTGATTTTAATCAACGTTATTCTCAAAAAATATCGTTTTTCAATTTAACGTTCTACAGGCTCGAACGTATTCCGTTAAATAAACGTAGTTATCAACACGAGCTCGATATCATCTATAATACAGCCCGTAGAAATAACTTCCGTTTAAATACTATTAGAAAAATTCCTAAACGTATGAAATATCAAAAACACGTCTAACGAATTCGCTAAAATTCCGAACAAAAATACAAATAACGCGAAAATCGCTTTTGGGAATTTTAAAATAGGATATAACGAATAAATTTCCGAAATAAAATTTGAAAAATGACCGCCCGTAATTCAAATTTCGCTAACCATGTTTTAGTGAATAACCGTAATATAGGCCTTTGATATAATTACGGACATGGAAATAATAAATGCCCGAAATAACATTTACATTAATTCGGTTTTAGAGGAGCTGCGCACGCAATGAAACCGAGACAAATAGTGTTAATAATATTCCAAACGTTCAAACCGATTTTTAAAATAATATCTCGTGTCGATGCATTTCGGATAAATAAACAATAACCGAACCATTCGCGTTACTCGGACGTATCAATGTTTAATAATGACAGGTAACCAATATCAAATGATCTGTCCAATAAAAATAAACTGCGTCCATTCTCTGTGCAAAACGAGCGAAACGCGCGGCCGCGATATCCGGTCGGGTTTTTTTTTTTCCCGAACGCGCGCCGTACGCGTCCGACGCCGACGGGTTTCGCCGGTTGTCCGGGACCCGCCCGAGCGGACCGATGTCCGAGGCCGTACGGCGCGACGGCGTAAACGACAACGGTACTTGCCGGACGGCCGTTCCGGTAATTCGCGAAGAAACCATCGGCCGGGCGGGAGCGCAGTTTACGGTCGGCCGAAAAAAAAAAAAAAAAATCTCAATAATATTCTGTTTTGTTCGTTCGCGGTTTTTTTCCTCCGTTTAGCCGTGAAAATCCGCGCGCACGCAATATATTATCATATTGCTTTATATTGCGTAGGAAACGTACCGAGCAACGTTAACGTGTCAACAAACTTTTCGGTTCGACAACGTTTTATTAGGAACGAACGGCGCGAACTCCAGATGTTTTCCCGAAAATATGTCCGGGCCGGTTTGGCGTTCGACGAAAACTTTTACAGTAAAAATTGTCAAAAAAAAAAAAAAAAAGAAAAAGAAACAAAACAAAACAAAACCAACAACAGCAGCAACAACAACAATAGATTTTCAAAAAGTTAACTCGAAATACTATTTTATAGACACTCGGAATGTGAATATCTGTGCGTTCGTTCGGGTTTCGCGGATCTCGGAAGTCCGTATTTCTCTCTCCCGCCCGCCGCCCGCCCCTCGACACCGTTCGAATTTTAAATTCGTGCCTGACGATGGGCACGGTTAAAGGCCTTTAATTTTTGAGGTTTCGCCCCGCCTCGCCCGGCAATGGCAATCCGTAACTATCGTCACGTGTGTCGGCGACGTCCGCGCACCGGTACGAAAATCTCCAAATTAAAAATAACACGTTCCGCGAGAACGCAATTTCGTCGCGCGAGATGAAAATTCGGCCGACTCGCACACGCGCAATCAGATCATCGGTACGCACCTACGCGTAGACGCGACGACGGAATCCCGGCACCGTGTAGCTTATGTACCGCCCGACATATCGTTATTAAATATTTAAATTCATTTCAATTTTCATAGACATCGTTCACACATATAGTTTAGAACAATCTGTCGGAACTCCGCGCCATCTACCGACAGCGCGGTGCTCTCTCCGGATGAGTTATTGTCTACGTTTTATCACCACTATACCGGACAAACGAGAAACGAGTCGTGCGAGACGAACGACATCCATTCGTCTACAGACAGTGGCGACAGGGTTTTTCGAGGCAGTTGCCTCGGGACTAGAACGGTCGGACGGTTGGCCGACCGTACGCGTTGAATGTCGATCGAGTTTGAATCGTTCGTGGGCCGAGAGACGCCTTTAGTTTGGCGTATTACATTAGCAATACGCCTTGCTTGCGGACACGACAGTATCCGGGACCGGTCGGCCGGTCGTCGCGTCGCCGGCGAAGATTTTGGACTTTCATCGTTTTCCCGTTCGATCCGTCTCCCGGAAACGGTCCAGGGCCGCGGGCACAGGACGTTGATAAAGTCGCGGGGGGCGATGTTACGGCCGGTGTACGCCGAGTTTGGTCGTGCGCGGAGCGACTGGACGCACCGTCGGGTGCGGGCCGTTCGGAATCGTCTTGTTCACGCGGTCTGCAAGCATTGCGATTTGCGTACAGGGCGTTCCGTTTGAACGGGTCCGCTCATTTGTCTCGGAAACAATCAACGTTTTTCGGAATACGATTGCCGGAACGTCCGAGATAAACAACAACCGGGTCTACGCGATATTTGGCGTTCACGTGATTTTTTTTCAACGTCGCCTTTATTTTCGGCCGTGAAACCACCGGCTACGGATTTGGTTCCCGGGCGGCTACACATTGCGCCGGAAACTCGGCGACCGGGCGGAGTGTTTCACAAATGGTCTGAGAAACACCGAGAGCGGGTGTTGCACGGTTTTACCCCTACTCCCGCCCGGGACCTAAGAGCCGGGAGAAAAAAAAAAAACAACCGCAAACGCGAAACCGCACGGCCGCTCGTCGCTCGAACGTTCCGCGAAACGAATTTCGAGAAGAGTCGACGCCACCCGAGACCACGCGGAGCGCGCCCGTTCGGACGGAACGCTCCGGGCACGGCGCGCGCGGCACGGCGTGACGGCACGGTACATTCGGTGTCGCCGGGGCGCGCCGGAACCGCCGGCGAGTCCCGTTTCGCGGTGTCGATGGGGGCCGGGGAGTGATCGACGAAACCGCCGCTTATTCGTCCGTTTTCCCCGTGCCGTACGTTACGAAACCGTAAGACCCGCGAGAGTGCGGGCCGTCGCCGCGCCATCCGCGACAATCGCGGTCCTGGATCTTGTCCGCCGGTCGCGTCACGTCTGACCTCACCGGATCGCCGTCCGAAACGGCACGCTCGCCGTTTCCCGGCCGGTTTTTTATGAACCTAACCTAACCTAACCGAAACCTGTTTTTTTCAAACGCAATACGCGCGCCGCTCTAGACTTCGATCCCCCCCCCCACTCCACGCGACCGTTTGAATTCGACGCCGCGGTGTCGCTGCGGGGACTCTGGCGGGTAACGTCTGCCTGCACGCTGTTCGGTCGCTAATAATATAATAATAATAATAATAATGATAATAATAATGAATATAATTATACCGCCCGTCCCCGGAGACTAATCCGACACGTAGATTAACGAGCCTCGCCGACGACGTCTTCGAAGCCGATTAATCTCGGCCCCGAGCCGCCGCCGCCGTATATTATTACGCGCCGTCGCTCCAGCGCTCCCTGTGCCGCTCCATCTCTCCGCCGCACTGCGTCCCCGTCACGGAGGACGGGTGACGTCGCCGGCGGAGGGACCGTCTCGTCATCCGGCCGTATCGCGTTCGTCGGGATTCCCGAAAACGCGGTGGGCGATGGGTAGAAGAAGGGGCCGGGGTCCCGAAATAGCGTTTCTAATACGCCACCGCGAGCGATTCCGCCGATACGCGTTAAATCGAACGTACGTAATTTAATACCGCGCGTTCCGATCGACTTCCGCGAGACGGCGTCCCGGGCCGCTGTCGTCGTTGCCATTTGTCAGTTCGGCGCGGTTTTGACGGCGGAGAAAACGGCCGGGTATCACGCCAATCGGAGCTCGGCGTTTTCCGTTGCGGCCGAACCACCCGTACGGTAAACCTAACCCAACCCAACCTAACCACGTGCGCCTACGGCCGCGTGTTGCGCGCACTTCTGCTACGGGTTCTCGTTTCGAAATCACAATCGTCGCCGACGCCAATTTGTTTTCATAGACGCGCATGTATACGCGTGTTCCGGCCGTATAATAAACGAGGCGCCCCGCACACGTATAGGAACACGATAGGTATGATTTGCTCAACAAATTCGTTACAACACAAATGCCGGAAAAAAAAAGCCTAATGTAAAGTTTCACTGATTTCTTTTTCCACTAACAATTTCATCACTGGCGTACTTCAATAAAATCGAATAATTGCTTCGCACGATATATTCGTTTTAAGGTTATTGATTTCAGTTTAGGATTGTGTCGGCAACTCACATACAGACAATTGTTTAGGTGGCTCTAATAACTCGAGATGACAAATGAATGTTTTAAAAACTTTTCAGGCGAATATTTTTTTTTTCGCAAGTATTAACTTTTTGAGCTAAGTGTAGTTTGACCGTTATTTTTTTTCGTCCCGAGTGCGCTTTAAATTCCATTTTAATTTAGAACGAACTGCAATCCGACTGACTACTTCGTAACAAAAGATTGGAACCTAAACCACAATGAAATCCGCCGAGCATATATTATGACACGGATCCTATTTTCGTTTATGGAACCGAAAACAAAATGTATCATACATATTAACGAGAAGCAGGGGTAGGAATCTTAATGGACTAGACACGTAGCAAAAATAATAATTCCGCGTTCGATTATTCGACCGGTTGCGGTGGCACGTGGTTTCCCGGTCAGTGTATATGGTATATTATATTACCTATTTGAATTCGTTAAAAACCATGGGAAAAATAATCCGTTTTTCGCCACGGCAAAGAGTCAAACGTCGCCGAATCGTTTTCGGATCGCATATCGGTCGAGGGTACACTAATATTATTATACGGAACAATACGACCCGACTGGCGGGTATTTTCCGCGTATTAAAATGGTCGATTGAAAATGTATAAAGTTCCTCGGACGTATAATCAGAGATTATTGTTAATATGACGGGACGTACTGCGCGAAGACGGCTATGCTTACTGCACCGGGACTTCAACAGCTGTCGTCGTATGGTTGACGGACTCGATCGCGATATAATTTCACGGCCAATATAATAATAATATGCCGTACAGAAGAGACTCGGTCACGTGGAATTAATATATATATATATATATATTGCGCGATGCAACGATATTCAGACTGCCTGACACGAAAGAATTTGGGCCGTATATTCACAAAGTCAGTTAAAACGGTCCGGGAATTTCGTCCGGGCAAATACGATACCAACGATCGATAATAGCCCGTAAGTCCCACACGATACCGAAAATCCATTATTACTGTACATGAATACACTGCAGATACCTAAATAAAGTAAATTCATATAACTGGCTATGAGACACACGAAATTTCAATACGTCATTAAATTCGAGACCCGTAGGTTTTATCATAAGCCACTTTAGTACCTACTGTGATATTATGCGAGTGGTTTAAGCGGGAAAAACTTTGTAAAGGGATAAAATATACTTGCCGAACATTGAGAGGTGTTTCCGAGAACTAACTAAACCCGTTCACACGTTCAGAAAACTTCCATATTGTTTTTCCCTTACACACATTGGTTCGAAAACATTTTATGTCAATAGGGCTTAAAATAAAATAACAGCCCTCTACAAAAAAAAAAAAAAAAAAAAACCATCTCGCCTATTATATATGTCTACTCAGTAGAACTATAGTAAAAAAAAAGACGTCCTAAGATATGGAGACGCGTGCAGCGACCGTTATGGGTAATTTAACGTATATCTGTAAGCGACGATAAACCACGAATCTGAGCACAGCACAGCTGATAGTGACGCTTTGTCAACAATATATATATATGTATATACGTCGTATTATGGTCAAATAATTAAATAGGCATTATACATTTTCTGTAACAATGTTTGTTTAATAATGAACCTATTTTCCCGGCTATCCCATGTTTTCGCCGGTTTTTCACATTGGCTGGAAAAACTGTTATGAAAATCGAAGAATTATCTCACCTCGGTATTTCCCCAGTCCGATTATGTCTACTCCAACGGGTGTTCAAGAATTTTATTTTTAATAGAACCAATTCGAGTTTTTATAATTTCATTAAAAATACCTCAGTTGACAATCACTGAATATTCCCCCAGATCATTTTGCCTTATGTAAAAAAGTCTTTTAGTTTCTCCTCCTCTTATAAAATGGACGGTTATAATAAAATATAGTCTGTATGGTATTAATAACTAACCACATTTGGTCTTAGTCATCGCGTTTACAGTGGACTGAAAGTCACAAACAGTATTCACGACATAAAAATACATTTCGATGCGACCGTGGCTTCGAATTAAATGAATGCCCCGCGGCTTTAACCAAAAGTATCGGTGTCAAGTGGCGGCAATCTTGTTTATTATACTTAGGTATCAGAGTTACTTATTCGAAAAAGTGTTAATTTTCGACCGTTCCGTTAAGTAGGTGTATTTCATAATGTTTTTGAAACGTTTCCTCGGCGAAAGTCACGCGTAGTTTTCATTTATTCGTTCGTTTGTTTGGAGTTTTTCTTCATCTCGCCAAAACGTATCCGCGATTCATTTGTCGGCGGCGTATTGCTTTACTGTGGGAATGACAAAATAAAACGAAAAAG